TTCCTGGCTAATCAGGCCTCTTCTGTGGTTTGCCTGGCAAGATTTTGAGTCTTGCCCAAACCTGAAAATTGTTTATTTATTTTGGCAAAGAGTCATTTTATGAATGACTTGACCCCTGTATAACTAGAGGACACTAATTATCACTCCAGAGAAATTAGTGTGCACCCCTCTACCCCAATAATGGACTCTTGACACCCTTCACACTCACCCCCTCGCCTGTTGAGTCGTTTTGCCAATCGATGAAATAAAAGGGGAGAAATATTCCGACAAAAAATATCTTTCCAGATTTTTTCCTAAAGGACACAGGTTAGATGTCCAGAGCCATTCACGTGATTTCGACAAAAGATCCAAGTCCTTCAAACTCCTGGATCGATTTTCTGAAATCATGATTTTTTGCTCATTTTAAGAGGTACGTCACTTGACGCCATGATTTTGTCCTGGTGGCCATAGGTTAAAAGTACAGCGCAATTCACATCGATTTAACTAACCTGATGATTTTGGCTCGCCAAAAGCAAAACGTCATCAAGTCGGTACGCGATTAACTAATCGATCGACCGCTTCTGATTGGTGGGCCTGCGCATACAAATTGAATCTGCTATTCGGGTGTGTCTATCTCGTCATTAATCCATTTATTAAAAAAAATACGAAAAAATGACGTCAATAAAACTTTTTTTCCTTATTCCTTAACTGTACAAACAGATGAGGGTGTTTACAACAAATAGTATCGGTACATGGTACTAATGAAACATTGTTTTTTAACCAATTTTGAAAATCAAAGCATTGAAGACATTTGTGGCACAGCCCTCTGGTGTTCATTGTATCGATATTTGGAGTTTCAGCTCAGATAACCGGCTGAACCCATTGGTGGTAGTAATAGTAGTAGTAGTAGTAGTAGTAGTAGTAGTAGTAGTAGTAGTAGTAGTAGTAGTAGTAGTAGTAGTAGTAGTAGTAGTAGTCAAGACCTCGGTGAACTCAGCAAAACTGATTATCAGTAATAAATTGAAGGCCGTTGGTAACCCCTTGATACCAAACCACTGCTACGGGCGCGGCCATATAAACGCCTTTCGACCTAGTTTATGTCTCATCAGCGTGACGCGAGTTTTCATGAAGTTATGAGACAGCGAGATTGAGATAATTCTATTTTATTTTAACCCTAACCCGCAATTCCTTCGCATCACCGCTCTGTTCGGAAACTGGCCCATTTCCAGATATTGGCAATCGAAACCGATTTGTGACTATACCCATCATTTAAAAAAGCGGAAACTATTCTCCGAAGTCGGTGCCAAAAATGCAACCTTACACTAAACCCAGCCTGACCAATCAGATTACTTCTCTGTTTATGTCTTCCAACATGATTTAAGATGGCAAACACATCATTGTTGCATCAACATGGTCTCATCGACGTCCACCTAGAGCAGAGCTGGAGGGATCTGGTATTAGCTTCTGGCACAATTTCTCGACTGCTGGCTGAAGGGGTTCAGCACTTTCTTATGACCGACGTGAGGGCGTATGCGACAGTTTCACGGGCTCATTCTAACTTAAATCCTTCCAAATTATTGAATTCCTCAGCTACATTTTCCTCGCCTTATGTGGGAAAAGGAATCAGAGAATCAGTGCACATGTTTCCTGTGCAGTATAGTCGGAAATACGTAAATAAAAATCGATTACTCTCAGCTAGCGTTTGAAATACCGCCGAATTCGAGCCTGTTGTGGGTCTATTAAAACAACTCTAGGTCACTTTGTTCATTTACACTGCGAATATCACTAGATATCCGTCCGTTCAACTGAAATCGTTCATCTAATTCGAGACATCACTTTTTTCATGAATTCGCAATTAAGCTAGTGATTTTTTTGGAAAATGTGAAGTCATCAAAAGACGCTTGCACGCGCGAAACGCACCATGTTTACTGTGGGGACAGATAGCCGTTGTCTGTTTTTTTTAAGCTTACTCAATTGGTTGTTTAACCGTGGTGGCAGCAAAAACAGCCTGGTTCATTTTACACACCTTTTACGCCATCCACGATGCATTGCTGCTTTCTTTATCGCCATTTAAATAACAAATTTCCTCCTTCTGGGGTACTTTCGCGGCATCTCCGCGCGCGTGCCCCAATTTTTTTGAACCCAAGTTGATTTATGTTGTGGCCGAAGACAGGATATTAATCTGCTGCCACTGCGTTACCGCGAGTAATAAAAATCCACCGTTTACATCTCCATCTGACTGATTTTGGCCTCTAAATTTTGTGTGTGTCCAGGTTTGTTTGTGTACGCAATTCCCAATTGGCGTGGTGGTCATGGGGAGCCAAAGATTAATAGTTCACGGGACATAGACTTATTTATCTTGTCTGTCATCGGTCCTCCCTTTTTGTTATCTTCTTTCGCCAAAAAAATGAACACGCGAATACTAGCAATTGTTATTTAAAGCACTTCACACGCTGCCACTGATCACGCGTAAGTCACTCCACCCAATCAGCGACGAGCGTGTGTGCACATTCGCGTACTTGATAATTAAGACTAATTTGTAATAGATTGTTCTCTGCTATTTATTACTTTTAACATGAGTTCGGGAATTTAAAATCACTTAGACATTTTATGACACTTTATGTATTGTGTGAGTATTCGATGTATTTATCACGCCTTGTCCGACAGCCGTGTAAACCCCTTCACTTAATTTTGCCATGCATGCTCCATGTGCTGGTGTCGATGATTCATTTGACAACTTTTATCTACAATAAAGATTCATGTGGAAGGAACACTTGCGGTTTGTCTTCGGTTTGAATTACCGGCAAAATGAAAGACGTCGATGCAAGTTTTCAGCCACATTTGTCAGCATGATAATGCTAATACTTACTTCCTGCAACCAATCAAAATTAACTGAGTAGTAAGTTGAGCCTAAAGCGGAAAGTAGCTCTTAGCAATTTGAGGCTTGTCTTAACAATAGAAGTGGTTGGAATTGTCTTTGTTTGTGATGTAATCAAGTGACTCGTTTGCGTTAATGCGATTTCAAATTCAATGATCGATTATTCTTTGACAAAAGTAATCGATTTTCACCCATTCGAACACGTCTGCGAGTGGTGAAGGTTCGAACTCTATTCCACGATCCGACGGATCAGCACCCTGGCATCTCATCCAATCAGGGAGGGGGTGGTTTGGTAACCTGAAAGTACGCAACCCCCCGCTAGCACTCTCACCCAGGTGCGCGAAAACGTATTACGGAAGTCGACAGTTGCATTAATCTCACCTTCTACCTTACTGACACGCACACACACACGAGCACTCGCGCTCGCGCGCATACACACAAAACACAAACAACTTTGACAGTTATAAATGACCAGTAAACATACCAAAGTATTGCTGGTTGGGGGTGAACGGATGAAGGCACGAGAGGGGAACACCGTGACCCCCTCCGACTTCACTGGTAGCGGAGGAGATTAATCAACCTGGACGTTGCCGCTGCTGCTACTGCTGCTGCTCTTGTGGCATGCCGCGAATACACAGGCATTCAGTGAGAAGACAACACGAGTAAGACGTAAAGCTAAAAATCGTGCGTGTAAATATGTGGCGCAGCTGCAGCGGTGTGATTAATTGCTGGCCTCGCAAAAGTGCAGCAGCGGGCACCCTGGTTGTTTTTGTTATTAATAATCGGGGACCAGCAGAAAAAGAAGAGTGGCGCCTGCCCGCGCAGGTAGGATCGCTTGAATGCGTCGCAAAACGTCTAGAATCTCAACAGCAGACGTCTGGGATGGATGCTCCATTTGGCCCTAACTCCTCCATCTCCATGGAAACCTTTCGAACTCTTTCCAGTCGGGCAAGTATTATTACAAGATCAGGCAATTTCGATTTGATCTTAGGGACGTCATAGTGTAACGCCCACAGCTGGCGGTTATTTTGAATTTCAACTTCGGTAACCTTTTCTGAAAAAAGATGGCTGTGCCAAGGTTACATGTCGTCGACTAAGTTCAGATCTAGTGGGAACCATGCTTTCAACGAAGACACACTATTCTTCTAATGTGGTAGTCGGGTGATGAAACGAATATCTGGTGGATATAATGAGTGAGGTAGCACCTTTCAGCTCGATTTATTGATTGTTTATCGAGTGATTCTGGCGCTCTTTGGTTTCGCACAACCAAGGTGGAGCAAGACGTCATTCCAACCAATTAGCTTCGAGAAACACTCGAGGTGGGCGAGATCGCATTCGGCACCACCATTCAAACCTCACCTTGAACGATTCCTCTGAATTTTTTGCCACACCAACAATATCCCTCAGTGGATTGGTGCAGTGACTAGCGGAACTGGCAGTCTCAGTGTCAGGCAACGGTTTCGAATGCCAATTTTTGTAGTTTCTTGAGGAATCTGATGATTTGAGTACTGAATATTCACAAGCCTTTCAAATTTAAATCTGCTCCATCGCCCGATATCAGTGTATTTTGATTCTACAGACCTATTCGCTTGAATATGATTTGACTTTAACCTTGGTCAGTCGAAGATGAGAGGCTGGATCCGTGAACGTCTACATGAGGTGGTGATCGCTGTTCTCCAATGAACTTTGCTTCTGCTCATCACAAACTTATTGCTTATTGGCTACCCACAACTAATATGTTGTCTGAATTATTGGTTTTTCCTCGATGGCTGTGCAAATTGTCATGCCAACGACACCGCTTCGTTCTTTAACAAACCCTTTTGTCATTTGGTTGAATCTTATGACTAAGCGTAGTAAATCGACTAATTACAATTTTGAGACCTGCGCATTTTCTAAATAAGAAGATCGGGACTGTCTATTTGTTCGGGGTCATTTGAACGCCTTGACTAAGTCAAACTAAAATCAGGACCCAGTCCAACCATAGTCTTTCAAGAATCTGTAAAGTTCTCTTGATTCCATCTTATTACTATGCCAATGAAGTGTGAATGTGTACAAGTTGGTAGATGCGAGTAAATTAACCGTGAAGTAAATATGAAAATAGCGACAAGAGTCACTGCTGGTGCAATTCTGTTGGCGTGTGGCTTCAGGCGCATCGTGAGTTGGGAAGTGCTCCCTCGTGTCCCTCCTCATTCATCCCCAGTAAGTTGGCGACGCTGAAGCTCTCAGACGGAGGCGGCTTGATGTGTGGCAGGGGAGGTTTATGGGGTTCCAGTGGTGGGAGCGAGAAGGGGGGTTGTGGAGGTAGCGGCAGGAGGCCCGCTGTGGCAAAGCCATTTAAAAGCGTCGTGAAAACGTCCATTGGAATCGAAGGATGTGGCGGCGGCGGTGGTGGTGGTGGATGAACAAATTGATGGGGTTGACTCCTTCCTGCGGAATCGATTGAACGGAAGGGCAGGAAACCGAAGGTGGAGTGGGGGGGTGGCGGAGAAAGCGGTGGTGAGTCGCTGTCGTCGGCGTCTCCTGGACACGACAGACCCAGAGCCCGACGCACCTTGCGCTGTGCCCTTCGACGGCGGAAGTCCCCACGGCAGAAGTCCTCCACGTTGGCTGGGTGAATGCCCCAGTAATGGCCCTTCCCGTTTGACGAACGACCTGCAGGGAACAATAAGTAGTCATTCCTACGTCAAGGTCATTCGGTTATTGGTGAATTCAAGGTCAAATTCGTATAACTCAGATATCACGTTAAGATTGTCAGATATATTTTGGAATTACTGACAATTTACAACATTGTTCAAGGTCAGCCAGATCAGACCACACGAAAATTTGTGGCGATTTGAAATTGTCCACATTCTTTGCCTAATCTTTTAATTTTCGATGATTCACGAACGTTAGCCTTGTACGGAATATTTGTCTACCAACATGACCTTAAACACTTGGCCCACACTTTCGGAGTTTCGATGAATATGATTGTCTGACGACAATTTGTAATAATCATAGACGGCTCTCTGGTTGTTTTACTATTCTGGCGCGATGGCGGGGCGCGAATTCGAGTTAGTTTGCTTATTGTGCTAAGAAGGGGTTTTTCCAGGGACCAGAAAGGCTCAGGTATCAATAAAAATCGGTGTTGTGGCTTAGTTCTTGAGCTGTGAATTGGTAACTATATTCACTCCATTATCGAGTGAGTTCACCTGCATTTCGATTCTAATAGACTGAAAAAATATATATTTTTTTATTTTAACTCGTCGTACTTCTCGCCAACTCATTTGAAGTAACCAATAACAAGCATCTGCAAGTATTCTAAATACCTGCATGCATATTCTAAAGGACGTACGATTACTGTTGATAATTAAATTATGAAATTTGCGGCGTTTGTTGTCGATACATCGAGTGGCTTGATAAGTATACGAGAAAATGAATAAAGAGGGACAGTGGCGGAACTTGAGCAACCGCTATTTTCACTCACTTGCCTAGTGAGTCTAGGCACTTGTATGTAAGTCGTGAATTATTCAGAAACCATGATCCACGAGACTCACTAAAGTCAGTTTTGACCAGATTAGTGGCCCACAACAACCTAGACCTTCCAGCGTGAAATTGGGAGGGTGGAGGAAGTTGTGTCTATCGACTTCTCGCTAGGGAACTGTTGAGGATCCACGATTCCCCAGGATTGGTTTCTGATGCTATTTACAGGTATTCATTAACATTTGTTTCGCTACGCTTTTTATCAAGTCAAGGTCAACCTGACTTGAATTTGTTCGACTTCCGGACTGCACGCCGCACGTGGCTGACGTGAATACAGCTCTCTTCTCGAGCTCTGGTCTTGTTCTGGTATTAGCCTGGGAAGGTCGGTTCTAGCTTCAGCAAGGGGTCTGGTACCATTATGGGCAAACGTAACAGGAACAACGCTCAAAAAATAGGCATTTAGTCGTCGAAAACACCATCGTCCTTATTGATCAACCGGTTCTAGTGTTTTAATGAGGAAACGTCACGCAGTCAACTGAGCTTACTTCATTGAGCATTCAGAGCCAATGAATGGTCGAGCCGCTAAATGACCTTTTCAGAATTCGCCTCTAATTGGTTGTTCCAGTTATGTTAATTTTTTGCACACATTATGTTTACTAATGAAGAAAAACATCAATTAAATATAACGGGATGTAACATTTCTTTGGTCATAAAGAGAACTGGTTGTCTTTATTTAAAATCCGTGAGATGATCAATCAACCAATGAAATCAGTTGACATTTCTCAAGGAATATTAATTAATGAAAAACAATTTAAGAAGAAGCACAAGAAATCAACGAGTGGGCCACTAGTTTTCTAAGCCTAGTATAGAGTAAAGCCTTTGAGAAAGTCATGCTGGCTCCCGTTTTGCTAAACGAGCTTTCAAGAAGTTTATTGGTTAATTAAACACGTTCGATTTCACTCTAATCACCTCGGTAGGGTAATTAAAACTGAGTATTTGTTGTACACTTTAAACATTATTAGTGACTGAAAAAAACTATTCCACCTGGGAAATCGACACCCGTAATTAGTGCAACAATTTTGAGCGTTTCCTGTCATCTGAATCTTCAGTGGTAAAGTCGCATTGGTTGGTGATATCAAACCATTTCCTCTCCACTTACCGACTTTAATGAAGCAGTCGTTCAAGGAGAGGTTGTGCCGAATCGAGTTCCTCCAACCCGGGCCCCGACTACGGAAGTAGGAGTAATTGAACTGGATCCATTCGTAGATCTCAGAGAGAACCATGCGTCGCTCCTTCGAACTAAGTATCGCTTTGGCGATGAGTCCTGAAATTGCGGAAATGATCTCCATCACCACACAAAGCAAAAACATAAGCCCAAGAAGACAGTTCAATTTTTAGACAAAAGACTCTACGCATTTAAATGGAAACATTATTTCAGTTAACTATTGGCGCGCCATCTTGGACTGCGGTCGTCTGATTGGTCGAAATTTGGTGAGCTATCGATTGGTCACTCACGTACGAACACACTTAACTTCAACCCATGATATTTGACGAATCAGATTGCAGATTTGGGTGCAGTGATATTTCAGATTCAGAACCAACAATTCACCCACAAATTCGTGTTCCAAATCACCAGCACAACGATCACGACCACGTCACAAGCGTTCCAGTTAATACGACCTGTTCTTGTGAACTTCCCAGTCACCGTCAAGCGACCAACCCGTTGAGCATCTGCTTAAATACCCGCGTCTCGTGTCGCATTCCGGACGTACAACACCACAGACACCGCTACGGTTTTCAAGGACATTGGCGCTAGCTGTACGAGTGCTTCGGCTGTTCGATGCCACCTGAAGACAGGTACCGAAATCCAGCGATCCTCCGCAAAATCACCAGTGTTTGAACTGTCTGCGGGCAAGTTCAGACTAAATCAACGCTGCCACCGCATTCGAGGGTGACATTCACCTGTACAAGATCTGCTTTGAATAGATGGTGTGCATTGTCGACGGAGTAACAGCGAAGCAGCAGTGGTAGGGTCATTATCGATCCAGCATGATCTACTGTTTTGGCATCAGTTAATACATTCCCATGGAATTAACAAGTTTGGTAAATATCTGGATGAACTGAATAGCGACGTCGAAAATGACCAAACAGAGTTACAACCTGAGAAGTATCAACCTTCAACAGATAGGAATTGCGACTTTTCCTTCAACAGATTGTCGTTGCAAATGCATGCAATCTATTTACCAATCAAAATTTTCAGCACGTTGCAGCCGATGACATTACCGGCATAGCATTTTCAATAAAGTCAAATGTCGATGCTTTGAAACTTCACAGAAATCACCCAAGATGAGGTGTTGAATGGTATTAATCATAACCACAAATGCCAAACGTGATCATGCACATCACGACGAACACAAAGGAGCGTTCTTCACATCTGATTGGCTGGAATAGTGGAATAGTAACCCTGACGACGAATCACTTAACTTCCGTCAAGGTCATTCTAGCGATGTTGGTGATAATGATTGATTTCTTATA